TATATATGTTTAATAAATTTATATTAATTGTATGCTTTTCATAAAAATGCTTAATAAATATATTTTAATATTTTTTATTAATAATAATGAATTTTATTCTCAATTATAATCTCCTTAAATTTATATATAGAGTATATTTGAATTATAAAGTAATTTCATTAAAGCTTCATAAGCATAAGTAAATTTTGTAATAAAACTAATGAATGAAAATATATAAGTATATTCATTCTAAGTATAACGATAAAATTATTTTGATTTGATAATAATGAGATGATTGAGTTTTAATTCGTCCCTCAGGGTTCTCTATTAAATATAATATTGTAAATTTTTCATAAGCATTTTAGATCAAAAAGAGATTTATAAAATTTTTTCTATTTGAAGAGATATAAATTAAAATTGCATTTTATGGCTGTTATCCTTTTCTAATCTAATACTTCTATTAATTAAATTTGGAAATAAATTGTAATTAAATACATTCAACTCGTAATATATAGAAAATTTCCCCCAAAATGTTTTTTATTCTATAAATTGAATTAATTATTATAATGACTATTTTTAGGTCATATTTTGATTGCTTTTTACCAGAACTCAGAGATTTTAATTACTAATTATGGGTGAAAGTTATTGTAATATATAAACTAGTTTTACCTATAATGTTTTTAATCATGTACATGATGTATAGGGAGAAGTATGATGAAAAAAATAATCTAATAATTATTTCAAATATAATACTCTTCATAATTGGATTAGAAAATGGAATTGGTGTTTTTAGTTGGGTAATTTCAGAAACCTTTTCCCTTTATAACATATTATTTCTTATTTTATAATGCATTATTAAGTTTTAAAATGCAGAGTCAAATATTATTGATAAAGAAACAACTAATGAAATACATATATACATCTTGTTTAGAAATTTTAATGAAAAAATGTATATATCATTTAGTTGGTTAAATTTTGCAACCATGATACCAGCTATCTTTATGTTATTACTTATAACTATTTGCACATGTTAAATAAAATTATTTCAATCATTAATCAAAAGAAATATACGTTACCAAGAGGATGAGATATTTGATGAATATAATGGTGAAGAGGGTTTTGAATGTTCAATTTGCATGGAGGAATTTAAGTAATTGGAAAAATATGTAGAGCTACCTTGCAATCATATCTTTCATTATTAATGTTTTAATAAATGGAGGAATTACAAACAATTATGTCCTGTGTGTAGAAGAAAAATTAAAAATAATGAAATTAACAAACAATTTCAACTGTCTAAAAATTAAGATGTTGAAATTTGATTAATTATTAAATTATCTAAACTATTGATATAAAAGAAATTCATCCATTTTTTTATTAATTTTCTGCATGTTCTGTCTATTCTTAATTCATCTATTTAACTAGTTCTTCAAATTATTTCATCAATATTTTTTCTTTTTCCATGATTTAAGCTATTGGCTGATAAATTTCCTTAAGAAAATGAATATATGTAATACTTGTTTTTATTATTCATGCACAATATTAAAATGCTTATGAAGAGCATTAACTTCAATAATTTTCAGCTTAACAAGATGATTCATTGTATGTATCAGCTTTTTATTTCTACTTTATTCAAATTCTCTTTTTTTTAAAGTAGCTGATAATGTTATAATTTTTTCATTGAGTTCTTAAATTACTTCAGGAGTATCATTAATTTAACTGATAACTTAAGATTGAGTAAGAGATTTAGAATTGTTTTGTTTGATTTAATTATTCAATTAGGATATTGTTTGATCCCTTTTTTAAATTTCAACTTATAAATCCCTAATTTATAAATCTTTCAATTATAGTTCATGTTCATTCCCTTTATGATCTTTAATGTTTGAATCATTTTATTCTAACTAAGATTTATATAGTTCGCTAATTTATTTAGCTTTTAAAACTTCACTTTCTAATTCAGCTACCCTCAATTTTTCTCTATCATATTCCATCTTAATTCTTTAAATATCTTTTTAAGCAATTTTATTTTAATTAGATAAAGCCTTTTTACAATCCTCTAATTCTCTAGCTAATTGTCTTCTTTCTTAATTCCATTCATCTTTTAACTTTTCCTCAATTTCTTCATTAGCTTTAACTTCATTTAAATAATCCTATGTTAAAGCTTCATTATTGTGCTCTAATTCTTTGATACACTGTTAGGCATGAGCTAATTAGAGGCTTAAATTTTAAATTTAATCAAAACTCTAAAATATGATATGAATATAGTACAGATTTTTCAATTCTTTTTTTCTCAAATTATAATTATTCTACTTAAACTTCCAACATTGTCTTTTCTTCTGTTAATTTTTATAAAGTAAATATGTCTTCTAATTATCCAAATGCAGAAGGATTTAAAGTTTCTCTACCTGAGGATTCAAATTATTTTAGATCATTTTATAATTTTTCTACCTAATCTTCCAAATCTCTTCTTTTATCTTATTCTAATTTTAACTTTTATTTTAACTCATCCAGAGCCTTTTTAAACATATCATGTGAAGCGGAATTGCTTACTGGGTCAAGTTTAGTGAATGTTTTGATATTAAAAGATTAAATTGGTTAAGATTAACTAATACTTAAATCATCTTCAACTAATTTTTAAGATATATTGACTGATTTATTGATTTCTCCAGAACTTTCTATCTATAATTCTTTCTCTAACTCTTATTATTATCTCTAAATTTCAGCATCTCTCTATATTAAAATAGTGGCATAATCATGTAATTTTTAAAAGGCAAAAAATTCTACTATTTTCTTTTCAAATTTTTAAATTGTTTAAATTAAGGAGTTGAGTATTTTCCTCTTTTTAATTCTTTTTACCAAAAACACAACTTTATATAAATACCATTTACATGATCTTTATAATTTATAATGCCTTTACAAAAGCATTTTAAGTTTTAAAAAAATAGTTTTTTTGTAAATGTATTTTTTACCAGATTTTTAAATTTTAATTATATATTGCATTCTAAATTCTACTAGCTGTTAATCTAAGAAATCTCTTAATCCTTCTTTCATAAAAATTTTAGTTTTTCCAATCTAAAGATTTTTGGCTTCTAATTCTTTCTGTAATTTTTCTTTAANTGGAGGAATTTAAGCAATTGGAAAAATATGTAGAGCTACCTTGCAATCATATCTTTCATTATTAATGTTTTAATAAATGGAGGAATTACAAACAATTATGTCCTGCGTGTAGAAGAAAAATTAAAAATAATGAAATTAACAAACAATTTCAACTGTCAAAAAATTAAGAAGTTGAAATTTGATTAATTATTAAGTTATCTAAACTATTGATATAAAAGAAATTCATCCATTTTTTTATTAATTTTCTGCATGCCCTGTCGATTCTTAATTCATCTATTTAACTAGTTCTTCAAATTATTTTATCAATATTTTTTCTTTTTCCATGAAATAAGCTATTGGCTGATAAATTTCCTTAATAAAATGAATATATATAATACTTATTTTTATTATTCATGCACAATATTAAAATGCTTATGAAGAGCATTAACTTCAATAATTTTCAGCTTAACAAGATGATTCATTGTATGTATCAGCTTTTTATTTCTACTTTATTCAAATTCTCTTTTTTTTAAAGTAGCTGATAATGTTATAATTTTTTCATTGAGTTCTTAAATTACTTCAGGAGTATCATTAATTTAACTGATAACTTAAGATTGAATAAGAGATCTAGTATTATATTCTTTGATTTAATTATTCAATTAGGATATTGTTTAATCCTTTAATTAAATTTCAACTTATGAATCTTTCAATTATAGTTCGCTAATTTATTTAGCTTTTAAAACTTCACTTTCTAATTCAGCTACCCTCAATTTTTCTCTATCATATTCCATCTTAATTCTTTAAATATCTTTTTAAGCAATTTTATTTTAATTAGATAAAGCCTTTTTACAATCCTCTAATTCTCTAGCTAATTGTCTTCTTTCTTAATTCCATTCATCTTTTAACTTTTCCTCAATTTCTTCATTAGCTTTAACTTCATTTAAATAATCCTATGTTAAAGCTTCATTATTGTGCTCTAATTCTTTGATACACTGTTAGGCATGAGCTAATTAGAGGCTTAAATTTTAAATTTAATCAAAACTCTAAAATATGATATGAATATAGTACAGATTTTTCAATTCTTTTTTTCTCAAATTATAATTATTCTACTTAAACTTCCAACATTGTCTTTTCTTCTGTTAATTTTTATAAAGTAAATATGTCTTCTAATTATCCAAATGCAGAAGGATTTAAAGTTTCTCTACCTGAGGATTCAAATTATTTTAGATCATTTTATAATTTTTCTACCTAATCTTCCAAATCTCTTCTTTTATCTTATTCTAATTTTAACTTTTATTTTAACTCATCCAGAGCCTTTTTAAACATATCATGTGAAGCGGAATTGCTTACTGGGTCAAGTTTAGTGAATGTTTTGATATTAAAAGATTAAATTGGTTAAGATTAACTAATACTTAAATCATCTTCAACTAATTTTTAAGATATATTGACTGATTTATTGATTTCTCCAGAACTTTCTATCTATAATTCTTTCTCTAACTCTTATTATTATCTCTAAATTTCAGCATCTCTCTATATTAAAATAGTGGCATAATCATGTAATTTTTAAAAGGCAAAAAATTCTACTATTTTCTTTTCAAATTTTTAAATTGTTTAAATTAAGGAGTTGAGTATTTTCCTCTTTTTAATTCTTTTTACCAAAAACACAACTTTATATAAATACCATTTACATGATCTTTATAATTTATAATGCCTTTACAAAAGCATTTTAAGTTTTAAAAAAATAGTTTTTTTGTAAATGTATTTTTTACCAGATTTTTAAATTTTAATTATATATTGCATTCTAAATTCTACTAGCTGTTAATCTAAGAAATCTCTTAATCCTTCTTTCATAAAAATTTTAGTTTTTCCAATCTAAAGATTTTTGGCTTCTAATTCTTTCTGTAATTTTTCTTTAATTATTTAATTTCCATTCAATAATATAATCATTTAATTAATATTTGTAGGTTTACCTTTAATCAGAAATCTATATTTCTTCATAAAATCATTGTGATAAAGTCGAATTTCATACCCTGCCTTTCTAATTTAGATTGCTTCTAATAAACCAGCACATCTCATTTATCTTCTTACTTCTTAAGCGTCAAATTCAAATGCAGATTTAGTATTATTAGGTTTAATACATCTAATATATTTAGGAAGTGATTTATTAAGTATTTCAAGTAACTCTTAAAGTGAGTTTTAAAATCTAGTTATGACATTATTCTATTTAATATTTGTATTTGTAATTTGATGACTTTTCCAGATTTCTCTAAGAATAGGATTTTTGCTCGTTGGCAAAACTTTATGAACTTCTTGATTGATAGTGTCTTTATTTTTATCAATAAATCCAGAGACATTATAAATCACATATCCAGCAAAATGTTTGATTCCAAACCAATCAAATTTAGCAGTTTTATGCTTTTTATCTACTTTGATATCTGAATCCTAAGCCAATAAGTCTTAGACATTGAAAACACAATATCTTGGTAATTTTTTAAATGAATTACTAAATTCTCTATCATTACCTTTAGGAGCAATAGTTTAATCAATAAGTAACTTAAATATGGACAAAGTTGAATTCTCGATTACATCAATTATTTATTTATTATCAGGAAATTTAATTTGATTCCATTATATTCTTTCCATATTATATTCACCTAAATTGATAGAATTAAATATGATACTTTATTCAGTTTCTAACATATGGGAATTAAAATGTTATTAGAGTTTTTCATTTGTAAAATTAATATTTAATTATTCAAAACTGTTTGTCTATATTCCTTATTCATCTGTAAATATTTCAAAACCAAAAATATCTAGAATACCAATCATATATTAAGATGTATTTTATTGAACTTAAACTTAACCACAAGCTTAAAGTTATACATTAACTCTTTCGATTAACCAATTAAATAATTTCTCATAAATATGCTTAACGAGTGTATCTCTTGCACTACTGGCTGCCTCTATATTATTTTCTTTCATAATCACTTCCTTTCCCATAACTGTTTGAACTTTGCAAATTATTCTAATCAAATCTTCAGAATCAAGTCCTAATAATTAACAAGAGGTTTTCAAAGAAAAGTCTTCAATTATGAATGATTTATTTGCATCTCCTTATATAGAGATGTTTCCTAAATGTAAGATTCCAGCAAGAGCTTAAAAAATATATTGTTTTTCTTGTGGAGTAAAGTTCATTTCATCCATACAATCACTAGTTTCTTTGAATTCCTCAAGTTCCTTTTTATTGTATTTCAGATCTCCTTATTTTAAATAATGTGTACTATTTAGCCTATCCAAGTTCTAAAGGTTATTTAATTACTTACTTAGTTCAGGGATTTGAGCAGCAATTAATTAATAGAAAATGTGATAATTTCTTTCAACTGAACTTAATTTAACAACTCTGCTTTTTTCCAATAAATAGTTATCAATTTTTGCATTAGAAATTCTTTTGGTGACAGGATTAAAATATAAATGTATAAATTTTCCAAATCTACTAGAATTATCATTTCTTGCTGTTTTTGCATTTCCAAATGCCTCTAAAAGTGGATTAGAAGCAAAAACTTATTATTCTATAGAGGGTGTTTTGGACTTGTAACCTAATGATTCAGCAGCTAAATATTTTAGAATAATTTTAGTTGATTCTGTTTTACCTGATCCACTTTCTCCAGATATAATCATTGAGCATATTCTAAGATTAGTTTTTGTAGACTCTTCAAACAGTTGATCTAAGGACATTTAAGCAACTTTAAAGAGATGAGGGTCTATATCTCTTAATTTTTGTTAAAGGATATCTTTAGAAATTCTAATTTTTAGAATATGAATACTAATGCATCCTTCCCATTTCTTTTTTAAAGAATGTTACCATTTTTTCATCATAAAATTCAGGAATGTATTAATATGGATTAATGGCTACTAAAATTGGAGCCCCTATTTATGTATAAATAAGTTTGTTAGAATATCTCATTCTTATTCCATGAAGACAATTAAATTCATTTAATTCATTTAAGAGCTAATTTTAATGTTAATCTTACTAGTAAATCACTAACTCCTTTTTTAGCTAATGGGTCGACCTTAATGTTTGATTTTTCATCAACATATTCTTCTCTTATTTCTTTATCAATACTATTTATCCCTTGTTTTGTAATCATTAACTTATTCTACTCATTGTCTTATTTTGCTATAAGACAAACGAATTTGGGGTGATTAACCCATATTTCATCATCACCAAAATTCATTTGGATTATTTAATATAATAATAATTGATAATAATTATCATTGCCCCAGCATAATACAACAAAACCAAAAGGCTAAGCCTTTGGTTCTATCAAATGGTTCATATAAAAAGGATTCTGCATCAATGAATAGCTTTAGGGAAGGTAAAATACAATGAGTTGCTCCCCAAAACATAAGTTGACAATTATATAGAGAATAGATGAGTCACACATAGCACCTTCCTTTCATGATTATTGAATCAATAATATTACCACGCGATATATCTTCTTATTTTATTTGTATTCATGTATTGCTGCTTAACATTTCTCATCTGTTATGGTAATAATGGCGTGAATAGCCATTAATAAGATCCCAACCCAAGATACCAATCTAGTCAAAACTGCAAAGTTTCTTACATAAATACATCAGCAAGGCCAACACATATCTAATTGAATAAATGCCTATTAATTTAATACTTAAATTCCCAAATTTCTCACTTGGCATTTTACCAAAACAGTAAATACCAAACATTGCTAAAATAATTAAACCAATCACTACACAATAAAGTAAAATGCTGCATTTTAAGAGTTTATAAATTCATCAATATTCTCGGTCATCAGATTTAATATTCGATTTCCAGCGGCATTCTCATCCGCTGTTGTTTCATCAGCTGCAGCATCTGTATACTCTATTAGTGGACATACATCATTTTAATATGTCGTATAAAATAGAAGATCATAGATGATCAAACCAATAAAAACGACCACTAGCAAACAGTAATATGAAATCAAACCCATTTTATTTTATACGAAATTAATACTCTATTAAAATAATTACGAAACTAAATATACAAATACAATCTTATTTATAAAATTGAATCAAATTCATAATTTCTTACCATCTAAAAAAAGATTCAAATTATAAATGTTTAAAATATTATCTATTAATATCAAATGGAAAATGAAAGCGTTTCAAATTAATCAAAATTAGTTTTTAACTACTTATTTTTAATTGAATCTAATCTGCTTATGTTTTCAATTTTATCGAATGTATTCATAGGTGTATTGTATTAATAACTCTGCCCATGGTATTTCTCTTATTAGTAATGCTAAATGCTATATTTTCTTTCATTTGCTAAACTTTTTGATTCGATTGAAGCTCTACCATTTATTGATGCCATACTTCGTCTATTTTTTATAAGTAACTAAATAATTTTATAGAAATTGTTATTTAGAATATGGATTCTTTAAGACAATCACAACAGGTTTAATAGATTAATCGTTCTAAATTAAAAATATAATAAATATTAAATTTTTATATATTCAAATAAAATGAGCAATCTTCATTAAAAATACAAATAAAAAATAAATTTTTATATGCCAATACAATTAAATATTAACACAATATATGTATATGTATGTCGATAAAACAAAAATTTATTATTAATATTAAAATTTGTATTAAATAAATATTAATCTTAAAAATCATTTTTAAATGTTTATTTATTTAGAAATGAATTTTTTAAATTAAACAGATTTAATACTTATTTTATCTACTTTATATTTTCATATATAGTCAAAATCTATATAAAAATGAATAGTTAGCTTAAACATATTATTAAAATGTTGACAATATAGAAATCTTTCACTTTTAAAACAATTTCTTCTTTTTCAATACCTAATTTCCAAATTTAGCTATTGTTTTTTACATTGATTTTCACTTTTATTAAATTTATTTATTAGTATAAACTAGTTTAATTTTTGTTATGCTTATTAAAATTTTAGGCATCCAAAATTAAAAATCTTTAAGCTCAATTGCATTTTTTTTTGGATTTTAAGAATCTAATTTTACTAAATCATTCAACTTGTAAATTTATATCTATGGTTTTGAATAATTGTTTTAATTTCCAAATCAATCCTTAAAAAACAATCAGGCGTTGTAACTAATCTTTAATTAAGAATGGTTTTAAAAAATTTTAATCTTTTAGTTCTAAATAAGGATATATTTAACTCTTTTAATTTTCTATAAGTTATATAAATTTAATACTAAATTTCTTATTTAGACATTCCTGTAAGGAGATTTTAAGAAGGCTCTTAAAAATATCGATGATTGGGAGAAATACTATAAAGAACATTGATTAACCATTCTCGATTTGGGAGTTTTTCGGATGTAAATCCCAAATCTTGTTCCTATCATAATATTTGACTTAGCTCTCTGTATAAGTCAATTTTGGTAGCGTTTCTTATCAAATAAACAATTTTAATATCAGCCTATTTCTATGAGAAAAACTTTTTCAAAGCCTCTCCAAGAAGATAATCACTTGTTACACATGATGAATTAAGGTCAATCCTGTATACATTGATTTAAGTGATCCAATTATTCAATTCGCTTCTTCAGTTGTCACTTTCTAAAACTAATATATAGTGAAAATAATATAGAAATTTAGATAAACGCTATTAGTTATTTTTGATGTAAAATAAATTACTTGTATCCATTTACACTGATTGGTTTTTCTTTCAATAAATATTTTAGAAGTTCATAAATATTTTTAAAATTAAAAATCAAGGGCATAATATCATTAATTAGATAATGTATTTTATATCAACTTTTATAGTTTGAAATAAAAAATATATTGTTTATTCTAAATTATTCTATGTAGAATAAATAAAGTGTTTAAATCAAACTTTAAAGCAGAAGAATATTAAAATAATTATGAGAATAAATGGCATCTAATTCTAAGAGTTGTTAGTCCACTAATTATCAAGATCTCCAATAATCTAATAGCCTTGAGAATTAAAGTGAAGATTGCTTGGAGTGTTATTATGTTAACTTTAGAGCAAAGTCGAGATTGGATAACCAATTATTTACCATCAAAGATGCAACTTTCTATGCGATTAATATACCTTATATGATAATATTTGTTTAAGTTCAATAAAAAAAATAAATTACCTTTAGTAACTAAGTTAAATTGTTAACAGGCATAAAACTTGAATAATTAGAAAGTTGGATCCAATTTTTCTTAAAAAACAAAGAAGATAAGGAAATAAAACTTGATGTTGAAATAAACTTACTTGATGAAAAAAATGTTTATCTTATGAGAAAACTGGCTTAATTAGGATTTACAAAATAGTACATCTCTGATTTGACAGGGTTATCGAAGAACTAAATTTATTATAGAGAATAATAAATAACCTAAAGCAATGAGTTCTAAACTTAATTTTATTTTTAATAAATTGATATAGATTAGTTGTAAAAATATGTTCAAACCTAAGAAATCTAAGAACTTTGGAATTCTTCATAGATTCTTGCAGCGTTATAGCTTCATTTTTCTCTTGATTATCAAATAATTGGAATAAAGAAATTTAGAGAATGCTTGACGAGAAATGGGTTAACTTACAAATAAATTCTCAAGTGCAGCTTTGGATTTTTTTTTAAATCCAGATTTAGAAAAGTTATCCAATATTTTATTTCTTTCTTATATCAATGATGAATACAAAACAATTTATGTTGATGAAACCACTTTTGCTCATTAATCTCGCAATCCAAAATGTTGGCAATAAAAAAAGGATCAAAAATTTCGAAATTAGTCACTCTTTAGAAATCTGTTAATGTAATGGGAATAGGTTAAAATGGCTTTTAGATGTTTTAGGTGTGCATAGGAAATCTTAATTAATTTGTTTTTGGGCAATTTATAGAAAAGCTAATCACATTTGCAACTAAATTAAAAAAAAATTAATAATTCCTTATTATTCTGGATAACTGTCCAACTCATTAAAGTAAGATGATAAAATAGAGATTTTAGATAATATTAATTACTTATTTTTAGCTCGTTATACTCCAGAATTAAATCCTTTTGAAAAAATTTGGAAATTGTTAACAGAATAGATTTATAAAACTTAGCCATGTGATAAAATTTAATTATTAAAAGCAATTCATGTAGTTTGAAAAAAGAATATTAGTAGCCTTGTAGATCGCTTAATGACAAATACATAGACACAAATTAAAAGATGTATCAATATAGCCCAAACCAGTAATTATTTATAAAATATAATGAATATTAATATAATTAATCAGGTAAGGAGATAAAATATACCTGTTTTATCTCCCCTAATATAAATTAATATATATTGGTGAAAATAGAAAAAATTATTTTCACCAATATATTATGTAATGCTTCTTAATATATATTGGTGAAAATAATTTTTTCTATTTTCACCAATATATATTAATTTATATTAGGGGAGATAAAACAGGTATATTTTATCTCCTTACCTGATTAATTATATTAATATTCATTATATTTTATAAATAATTACTGGTTTGGGCTATATTGATACATCTTTTAATTTGTGTCTATGTATTTGTCATTAAGCGATCTACAAGGCTACTAATATTCTTTTTTCAAACTACATGAATTGCTTTTAATAATTAAATTTTATCACATGGCTAAGTTTTATAAATCTATTCTGTTAACAATTTCCAAATTTTTTCAAAAGGATTTAATTCTGGAGTATAACGAGCTAAAAATAAGTAATTAATATTATCTAAAATCTCTATTTTATCATCTTACTTTAATGAGTTGGACAGTTATCCAGAATAATAAGGAATTATTAATTTTTTTTTAATTTAGTTGCAAATGTGATTAGCTTTTCTATAAATTGCCCAAAAACAAATTAATTAAGATTTCCTATGCACACCTAAAACATCTAAAAGCCATTTTAACCTATTCCCATTACATTAACAGATTTCTAAAGAGTGACTAATTTCGAAATTTTTGATCCTTTTTTTATTGCCAACATTTTGGATTGCGAGATTAATGAGCAAAAGTGGTTTCATCAACATAAATTGTTTTGTATTCATCATTGATATAAGAAAGAAATAAAATATTGGATAACTTTTCTAAATCTGGATTTAAAAAAAAATCCAAAGCTGCACTTGAGAATTTATTTGTAAGTTAACCCATTTCTCGTCAAGCATTCTCTAAATTTCTTTATTCCAATTATTTGATAATCAAGAGAAAAATGAAGCTATAACGCTGCAAGAATCTATGAAGAATTCCAAAGTTCTTAGATTTCTTAGGTTTGAACATATTTTTACAACTAATCTATATCAATTTATTAAAAATAAAATTAAGTTTAGAACTCATTGCTTTAGGTTATTTATTATTCTCTATAATAAATTTAGTTCTTCGATAACCCTGTCAAATCAGAGATGTACTATTTTGTAAATCCTAATTAAGCCAGTTTTCTCATAAGATAAACATTTTTTTCATCAAGTAAGTTTATTTCAACATCAAGTTTTATTTCCTTATCTTCTTTGTTTTTTAAGAAAAATTGGATCCAACTTTCTAATTATTCAAGTTTTATGCCTGTTAACAATTTAACTTAGTTACTAAAGGTAATTTATTTTTTTTATTGAACTTAAACAAATATTATCATATAAGGTATATTAATCGCATAGAAAGTTGCATCTTTGATGGTAAATAATTGGTTATCCAATCTCGACTTTGCTCTAAAGTTAACATAATAACACTCCAAGCAATCTTCACTTTAATTCTCAAGGCTATTAGATTATTGGAGATCTTGATAATTAGTGGACTAACAACTCTTAGAATTAGATGCCATTTATTCTCATAATTATTTTAATATTCTTCTGCTTTAAAGTTTGATTTAAACACTTTATTTATTCTACATAGAATAATTTAGAATAAACAATATATTTTTTATTTCAAACTATAAAAGTTGATATAAAATACATTATCTAATTAATGATATTATGCCCTTGATTTTTAATTTTAAAAATATTTATGAACTTCTAAAATATTTATTGAAAGAAAAACCAATCAGTGTAAATGGATACAAGTAATTTATTTTACATCAAAAATAACTAATAGCGTTTATCTAAATTTCTATATTATTTTCACTATATATTAGTTTTAGAAAGTGACAACTGAAGAAGCGAATTGAATAATTGGATCACTTAAATCAATGTATACAGGATTGACCTTAATTCATCATGTGTAACAAGTGATTATCTTCTTGGAGAGGCTTTGAAAAAGTTTTTCTCATAGAAATAGGCTGATATTAAAATTGTTTATTTGATAAGAAACGCTACCAAAATTGACTTATACAGAGAGCTAAGTCAAATATTATGATAGGAACAAGATTTGGGATTTACATCCGAAAAACTCCCAAATCGAGAATGGTTAATCAATGTTCTTTATAGTATTTCTCCCAATCATCGATATTTTTAAGAGCCTTCTTAAAATCTCCTTACAGGAATGTCTAAATAAGAAATTTAGTATTAAATTTATATAACTTATAGAAAATTAAAAGAGTTAAATATATCCTTATTTAGAACTAAAAGATTAAAATTTTTTAAAACCATTCTTAATTAAAGATTAGTTACAACGCCTGATTGTTTTTTAAGGATTGATTTGGAAATTAAAACAATTATTCAAAACCATAGATATAAATTTACAAGTTGAATGATTTAGTAAAATTAGATTCTTAAAATCCAAAAAAAAATGCAATTGAGCTTAAAGATTTTTAATTTTGGATGCCTAAAATTTTAATAAGCATAACAAAAATTAAACTAGTTTATACTAATAAATAAATTTAATAAAAGTGAAAATCAATGTAAAAAACAATAGCTAAATTTGGAAATTAGGTATTGAAAAAGAAGAAATTGTTTTAAAAGTGAAAGATTTCTATATTGTCAACATTTTAATAATATGTTTAAGCTAACTATTCATTTTTATATAGATTTTGACTATATATGAAAATATAAAGTAGATAAAATAAGTATTAAATCTGTTTAATTTAAAAAATTCATTTCTAAATATTTTTATATTGAAATTAAAATTAAATATTCATAATTAAAAAAAAATAAATAATTAAAGTTTGTATATACAAATTAAATTACATA